CATTTCTACAAACAGTAGGGGACTAAACTGGGCCCCAAAATTGTAGCTTACTGGTCTCCAGTGTAAGTGAATAATTTACCATAAACTTTGTTGCTTGTAAAGGAAACAACGGTGCTTGCAGAAGGTGGGAGTACATTATGCTTTGGCCTGATTTAAAGAAAATTATATTTTATTTTATGTGCATGAGCATTTTCCCCACATGTATGCCTGTGTACTACATGCCTGTCTGGTGCTCACGGAGTCTAGAAGAGGGCACAGGATACCCCTGAAACTGGAGTTAGAGATGGTCATGAGCCACCATATGGGTTCTGGGAACCAAACCTGGGTTCTTTGGGAAAGAAGCCAATACTCTTAACTGTTGAGCTATTTATCTAGGCCCTGCTTACTTTCATTCTCTCTCTCTCTCTCTCTCTCTCTCTCTCTCCCTACATATCATCTATCTATTTATTTTGATGCTGGGGATTGAACCCAGGCTCTTGTTCTCATTAAGGATGTGTTACATCTTTAGGCTTGCCTTTGTTTTTTTCATATTTCTCCTCCATAAAGGAGCCATGGAAGACGATCTGAATATTAAAAGATAGCAGGTTTGACAAAGCTATTTGATCTGGGGGCATCTGGAAGAATATATGTGAACTTATTTGGGCAGCAGTGGTATAAAAAAGGAAAAGATGCCATGGGCTGCTAGGGATAAAATTCTGTGGAATAGATCAATAAGCAAGAAATTTCAGAGGTAGAATAAATCCTCAAAGAGGACTATTTTCTTGATTGTCTTAATCACTAAGCTTGTCTTGTACAATATTATTTGTTAATCTGTCTAAAGGACCACCTCATTTTAGGAAGTCCAATAAAGTCCAATACCACATCAAGAGATAAGCATTTCTTTCGTTAATGTGCACACTTGTATATAGAAATCTACATTTGTAGACCACTAAATGGTCAGAGATACATGGACATAAATTGCTTAAAGTACTCAATCTTAAATCGTATGTATTGCTTGTTCTTCTCATGTAGTGTTTCTATGCAATAATGGTGAAGATTCAGTGAGTGTCTTAACGTAGATAGTGTGTATCGTGCTATAATTCAATGTTTATCCATACTTAAAGAGGGACAGATTATAGATAGAGAAATAGGCCAGACAGAAATTGATGACTGTCCACTGAGCACCCAATTGTGAACAACTAATTATACCTAAAGACTAATGAGGAAAGATAAAAATCACAGAGGTAAATGTGCACGCGCCCATGCCTTGGGGTGTCTGCAGTTTATATTACTCAAAATTCAAACTAGAGATGGCCACGGCTTAGGACTAAGTGGAGCAACATGCTCTCTTTATTAATTTGGATAACAGTTGAGCAAAACCATTGTGATAATATCAGAGGCCTCATTTAACTTGCTGAATGGCTATGAACAAGGAACCTAGCTTCTTTGTGCTTCTAAGCACTTTGGAAATAAAAGCTAAAGATGAGGTACCTTTAGGGCCAGGTTTAAGGCACACATGTGGCAAGCAGGAACATAGATGTAAATCCAAAGCATACCATATTTGTTTACTCTCTATATTTATGGCGATTTTAATTTCTTTCTACAAAAAGCTTTTCCTCATTGGAAATTAACTAGCAGGGTAAAGCAAACCACGAGGTGGTTTTTAATAACCCATTTCCACTAAATGTCAGACCTCTGGCTCTGACGTCTGCTTTGAGTTACGGAAGCAGCTGTCTGAAATAACTGGAGCAACCAAGATCTTCGCTTGTTTCTGGAAATACAATGCTTGGAACATGGACAGAAGAATCAGAATAAGACTATCAAGTCCTCTAAGACATTAGCTCAGTCTTGGCAAAAACTTGTATGGTTAAAAAAAATTAAATTATTTTTTGAAAGTTACATACATGGGCAAGGAAATCTGAGACAAGGTAGAGAAGAAAACTTTTAACAGTGGATCAGAAAAATCAATTTAGAAGATTGTAAGCAATATTTTATTCCTGAGCAAATTAAACAGAAATAGAAGATATTACTGCTTAACAAAATTTTTGTTTCTGATACTTGTATGTACATGTGACTATAAGTGAAACTGTTGTATCTACATTTATGTATGTGTATAAAAGCACATAAGCAGCCGACTTTACTTTAGTATCCTAGTTCGTAATGAAAACATGCATAATACATAATTAAACTAGGCTGGTGGCCACTGTTCAGTGTATCAAAGATGCTTGGATAACCTTATGAAGCTTTTTCATTGGGGGAGTCTTTAATTCTCAGATTTAAGATTATCAGGAACTTCTTAATATCATCCTAACATATGTACCTAATGGTATGCTGTCTCTGCCTAATTCAGCTGTTTCTATTTACACACAAAACCAAACACAAGCGTAAGTGTACACATACGCACACACATGCACACATACACTCTCACACACACTGCTTTTCCAGTTATAAATATTTTTAGGTACAAATAAATTATTCCAACCACATAGGTCCTATATTAATGCTTAAACTAGCAGGAAGCAAACAAAAAAAAATACTAAGATCATAGCGTCACAGAAAGCCCAGCCAAAGGGCTGGAGAGACGAGTGAGTACAAGCAAGGCCTGCTGGATGAAGACCTGAATTTGGGTTGCTAGCACCCATATAAAAGTTGGGTATAGTGGTGAGCACCTATAAGCATACTACTAGGGGAAGTAGGGTAGACAGGTGGACCTCAGGGGGTTTCAGCTCATCTAGTTAACACTGTGAGTGTGCTTCAGCAAGCAAAACTGTCTCAAAAAAGAAAATGCAAAGAGTTAGAGGAACACACCAGTTTCTGGCCTCCAGTTCTAGGTCCTTCATCACACACACACACACACACACACACACACACACACACACACACCTCTCCTTAAATAGTCTGAGAATTTAGCTATTTACTCTCTTACAATTTAGTGGCTTTTGTTTGCCTTCCAAAAACGAGTTAATTTTTTTCAAGCCAGTGGGACAGATTTGAGATAAGTCCTTTCTCCCATATCAGAGCACTCAAATCAGCATTTAGGGTATCATATTATTCCTTAAGTGCCAATTTAATAACAGGACCCAGGTAGGCTGAACAGAGCTTCCCCGGGTCCCAAACAAGCAGAGCAAAACTACATTAGAAAATGTTGACTCTAGGCATCTGAACTGCAAATATGACAGTAGGGAAGGTATATTCTTCATGTCTCAGGAAGCGTCTTCCACATAGTCTACCTGTGAGGACTCTAGACGTGGGGTGCAGCTGGCTAATACAAAGGATTTCCTTTTTAAGCTGATCAGAGTAGACCTGGGCCAGGGGTCTTGTGCTTGTGTCTTCTCTGCTATATTCCTGTGGCTTAGATGTGGAAGAAATGTCCAGGCTACTAACAGAATAGCATTTAGCCTCTTACAGAGCAGGTAAGCAGGCCACCAGTTCAAGAAGCTGGGGTTAAGCACATGCCTATGATCTTTAGGGAAAGATGAAGGGGTGACTAAATGTGTTGTAGATGCCTCCAGCCCCGAAGCATCTAACCACCTTGAAGAAGAAACCTCTACAATAGTCTAATTCCTTCCTCCCATGCAGACTGCTTCAGGGATTCATTCTTGTGAAATATATGTCCAATACAGAAACTGTATTAATGCATCAAGTTCTGAACTTCTTTGGAATACTGCATCCCTCTGAACCATGAGTTCTTGGAAAACCAGGAACTTGTTCTTTCTTTGCCTTCCTAACACTTTCTCTGCTACATAGTAGGGACTAGTAAAATCTGGAAGGACAAAGTGAGGATGACAAAGGCGAAGGCATTTTTATTTCTCCCAAGCTGGTATATAATCTTCTCTTTCTAAATAATGAGATCTAACAAGAGGAGATGCCTAAAAGAGTTAGGATGGGGATGGGGCAAGGGGTTAGTGGAAGACAGGGAAGAGTTCTATCCGTTAAAAATCAAACAGTGGTGCTCAGCAGTCAAAAGATGGCTGGTACAGACATTTAAAATTAGCTTCCTTGATGGTTCCTTAGCAACACTCTACCAGAACATTATTGCTTTTAATGTGCACTGTACAACGTTCACTCACACATCAAATAGCTAGGAAATGGCCATTGTTAACTGACACTGAACAAAAAGATAGAGAAAACACACTACTCAAAAGACCCTCCTTATTGCCCTTATGGAGACAAACAAAGCCCTCCGATTTTCCACCACTGTTCCCTGCCTAGGCAGCCCATTAGGGGTGCTAATCACTGGCCATAAGGCTTTCTTCTTCCTCCTTTCTGCTTCTCTGCACTTTCTTTCTGTCAGCTCATGGGTGACGTTAACTGTGTTTTTGCAGGCTGATGGGGGGTGGTTCAGTGACTGTGTCAGGTAATAAGCCATAACAAGAGCAGTAAAATATCTCTTTGGATGAAGTAAGCCATTTGCCGCTAATACAGGCATGGGGGAACATTTGTGTCCTAAAGTCCTGCTTTTGTAGGGGGTGCAAGACTGTACAAGGTCAATGTGATAGAGAAAAAGAATGCCTTTCTTTGCAAGGAAGTAAAAAGTCGATAGCCTTCCATATGGAGAGCTAATTATCTCTATATTGAAATGATGGGGTATGATTTAGTTTTCAAACACAAAGGGCAGCCAGAATCCCCATCACTATCACTTCTCAGGCATTTTCTAGGCCTCACTGTTACATTGTAGCCTTACATCCCTGGCAAAGGTGCCATAGAACACTAATTTTCTTATCTGGGAAAATCATATAGTAACTGCTCTTAAATCAAAGATCCCATGTAATTAGCTCTTCGGATCAACATGTGAACCATGTTGTACAAGGTGGAATTCTTCCTTCCAGAAACAATTCATTCACACAGATACCTGAACTCAAAATACACCAAGCCAGAAATCTCTTCTGAGAACAAAGTTTCATTGATGAAACCAAATGGGCATTCTGCCAGCAGGTGCTGCCTTCCAACGGACAGAAACACATCAGTTAGAATGGACGGGAATGGCGAAGTTGGACTCCCTTGGAGCTCTAGGTCCTTACCTCTTGAGCTCGGGAAGGAGTTGTTGAGTTGCTCCATCACTTCCTCTAATCCTGTGCTTGTATCTTGGGGAGGACTCAGAAGATCTTCCTCACCTTAGTGAAAGAGAAACAAGGAATAGCCGTCATACTCCTGCTGAATGCAAACACAGGCGAGGGCCAAGGAGCATTTTACAGACAACTGTAAGCTCATTTTGTTTGCTCATAACAACAACAACAACAACAACAACAACAAATCCTCAAGCAACTCCTCAAACTCGATAACTAGGAACTACTTCCTTAATGTGTGGAATTCTTAGAGAAGAAAACTATCCGTACTCATCCATTAACATAAAGTCACCAAAACATCTTTTCTTGAAGTCCATTGAGAAATGTGAAAACTTTAAAAAAAAAAAAACAAACAGTTACTATTACACATTTGTAATACGTTTCCTTAGCACAAAAGAAAAATAAGAATGTGGCAGATTGGAATTACTCCATAAAGGCAATAAGAGAGAAAGAGAAACTGGGGCTTCCGGTCTTTTACAATTAACAACAACAAAAACAAAATTAAGGAAACATTAAAGTCAAATGTAATAAAAGGAATAAACACTGTACATGAACTAATAAATACTATCATTAGTATTCTAAGGGCAGTAGACAGGGAATATTGAGGAGGTATGTTCTTCACTCTCTATTACCTAGAACTGCATTATCATCTTTGAACAGGGAATTTGTTGTCAATAATATGTGGATCATTGTCTCTACTCAAACAATATTTTAAGTAATGGGCAATCTTCTTAGGTGCAAACCAAACTAATTTGAATTCTGACGGTTCTTTGAAAATTATTTTTCATGGTGATTAAACTCCCACTCATGAAAATACTTTGGAAGCACACCATTGAAAGCAAGGCCTTGTTCATGCAAGTCAAAAATAGCGAATGGGCTTAAGGAAAGCTCAGATTCACGTGTGACTTGGAAACGACTTGGGAGGTAGTGATGAAATGATTTACATATTCTTTTCATTGCCTTTGGTCTATGCCATGCTTGGATTTTCAGCTGAGAGTACAATCCTGCATTCATTCCTGGGTTTTCAACCTTGTTTTTAAAGTACAATCAGAAAGATCATTTGCTAAGAGAGAATCATATTGTAGGTGGACATGAGTTTGCATGCCATTACCAGAATGAAGGGTTCATAAGCTGGAATGGATAGAAAAGCCTCTGATTTGGGGAGTCTCAGGCCAGAACAAAGCTCTTTGAAATCCTAAGCACAGAAAAGACACAGCAAAGAATGAAGGTCACAAGAGAGTAAACCAAGATATTAGATTCCCCATTCTTTCTCTCTTCTCTCTGCACACATGTGTGAACATATACACAGACATACATATGCATGTACATTTTTAAGTTTCTATTGTCAGAAAAGAAGAAAATGGCATTTAGTATTTCTAGCTCATTTATTACTGCATTTTAATATACTTACTATCTGATGAAGATGGGATGAATAAAATATTACCAGAAAAAACCACAACCCTGACCAATTGCAGGGCCAGTTACATCTTTATGTTTCATTACTGATGCAAATTGTTGTTGAACTGGAAAAGGTGAGGCAGTTTTATTGGCAACAAGTCCATGTTCATGACAGGATGTCTTACAGATTAAATCAGAACGAGCGGAAACATTCAGCATGGATGTCAATATATCTGACAGTTTAATTACATCATACCTGAGTTCTAAGAACTTCATTGTACTGTATAAAGACCCAGGTACAGTTCAATGGTGTGATTGGCAGTAGTGTTCCTGAATATCTTCAAGGATCAAACTGTAATGTATAAGCTAATGGTGTCAACTAAGTTCATCTTTACAGAAAAACTATTACCTGTCTCAAAGAAGAGTTAAGTTCAAATGCAAAATTGGCTTGTTTTTAATAGTAAGCTTTTGTGACAGTGGTAATTGGATCCATTTAAACAGTTTTGGAGGTATTGGGGTTTGAATGCAGGGAGCGATGCATGCACTCAGGTATTGATCTAATAACTATTCTAATATGTTTAGAGCACAGAACACACCCTAAATTGTATATAAACAAGAATATTCTGCTATTGCAGGTTTTAAAAAATATTCTCCAGATTTCTCAGGATGGATTACCTCACCTCTTTGTAAGAACTGAAATCAGGTCCATCACATAAATACAGGGAAAGAAGTAAATAGACTAACTGAAGAATTTTTAGTACCTAATATCTATCAGATTATACTGAAAAAGTTGAGACAGTTAGATGAAGCCTGAATGGAACTCCACTGACTAGGAAGAGGAAGAACAAGAGGGGGAAGGAGCTAGAAGAAAAGAGTGATGTGAATATGATCAAAACACTTTATTTTTTCAGATGTATAAAAAATGTTACAATTTTAATCCCAGCACTCGGGAGGCAGAGGCAGGCAAATCTCTCTGAGTTTGCGGGCAGCCTGGTCTACAACAGCTAGTTCCAGGACAGGCTCCAAAGTTACAGAGAAACCCTGTCTCAAAAAACCAAAACCCAAACCAAAACAACAAACAAAAAATAAAAAAACCTCATCACTATACAATTAAAATATGCTTATTCATATTGTAAGAATAAAGTACTAGAATTGTGCTGTTAGACATTGGACCAGTTTTGTTTTGTAATGCCTTTACAAAAAAATTTAAGGGGCTGGAGAGATAGTTTAGCAGTTAAGAGTGCTTCATGTTCTTTCAGAACACCTGAATTCAGTTCAAGGCATCCATGTTAGTAGCTCACAACCATCTGTAGCTACACCTCCAGGGGATCCAAAGTCTGCTTTGAGAGGCACTCATAATTATGTAGGCATATAAAGGAGTGATGAACACTCTAAGAAAAGGGGGAGATGCATCTGACTCAGATTTGATTTTGTAGTGTTCCACATTGAATTCAGGGTCTTGTACATAGCAGATAAAAGCTCTACCAGTGATTTACAGCCTTGGCCCTAAAATTTATTTCTTGAGTAATAATTCTATATTGGTTATGTAAGAAATTATCTTTCATCTTAAAAGACATGTGTTCAAGTCTTTTGTATAAAAATGTCATTTTGTGTAACAGACACTAAATGGGTCAATGAAATAAAATAAACCAATAAACAATTTAAACATAATAAATATTCACATAAAATATGAATAAATGAACAGAGTATGTACAGATGTCATCTTAGATATATATAAGTGGATGTCAATATAAACAAAACATTAGTATAAGGATACATAAATAAATGGATAGACAGCAATGGAGGCAAACTTGCTAGAATAAAAAACAGAACAACACTTATAAATCTCTAATATTAATAATAAAATCTGTTTTGAATGTTTGGGAATCATTTGACATTTTAAATAAACAAAGCAGAAAATACTTTTAGCAAAGTAAGTTTGAGAAAGTAAGGAGTTATTGGATATTGTTAGGAAGGCATACACATGAGTATACAGAGGTCAGAAATGTAAAAAAAACCCTACTTTTGTAAATTTATATTTCTTTGTTTCTTCCAGTAAAATGTAAATTCTATTAGCAAATTCCCCCCATAACAACTGTATAGAATACATACAATATAAAAAGACTCATCAGGGATTAGTATTTTGAGATCTGAAGAGGTACAATGCATCTGGAGATACTCTGTATCTGGGGTAGCTTGAATACAGTATCCCATCGAAATCAAACCCATCAATCCCTAATATCCAAATCCCTTAAATAAAGTACTTTCATAGACACTGCATGCATCCTCCTATATATTTTAAATCATCTCTACATTACTTATAACACCTAATATGACATAAACGCTGTGTAATTATTTGTTATATTATTATCACTCAATTCAGGGAATAATGACCCCAAAATATCTATGTTCCATTACAAATAAACAGCACCCTCCAATTATTTCTAAGTTTGGTTGCTTAAATCCATGTACAGAACTCGCACATGTGGAGGGCCAACTTAGTTGGATTCTTCAGACGGATTGGTTGGCATAGCTTCTCCCATATTTCACTTGAAGGAAAATCACTGGGGCTGTATATTTAAAGAATACTTTATCTAGACTATAACTTTAGCCAATATCATCCTTACCACATCTCAAACATTCACAGTACAATAACACATATCACAGTAATTTAAATACCTGTCACCATCATTTAAGAAATTCTCCTGGGCTTGAGAGATGACTCAGCTGTTAAGGGCTAGACTTAAAATCAAAAATATAAAAATTGCCCTCGTCCCCTTTATTAAAATTGGCTTACATGGCTCAATAAATACACACACACACACACACACACACACACCTAAAAAAAACAACTTTGAATTTAGTCTTTTCTTTTGGAAAACAAATATTATAACATACCCTATCAATTCTATATAGGCAAGTTACCTCTTACCCTAATTCAGGTGCTCACATATAGCACTTCTATCCCTGGATTCAGCTCTGCCATAATACTCCCGATTTACAAATCATCCGAACCACAGCCTGCTACGGACTGAGTGCGTTAACAGGTATGCAGCGTCTTAGGTGTTGACAACCTAAATAATTAATGCTTCTAAGCATCCAGAGTTCTGAGGCTCCGTCCTAAAATATGTGACTGAATTTCTCATGCAGGACTTCAAGGGGATAAAAAAGGAAAACCCTGAAACAGAGATGCTAAAGCTCATTTGTTTCCAGAATTTAATGACTTCTCAAAGGTGTTCAGCATTTTTTTATGTCTATACTATCATTTACACTTCCAACAATCCATTAGCTGTATTCAGACCTCATATGCAAAAGGAAAATCGGACAGAGATTTCCCTACATCACTGAGGTGTAGTAAAGTCAGAAAAACATCAACTATATCTTCTGTTTGAGACCAAATGCGCCCTGGCTTTCCTATAAAGTTTGGCTTCTCTGGACCTGGATGTGCTCTCTGCCCTGCTCCAGATTCTTGACCATGACTGGATTTTCTTCAACTCTTCTCTTTCCTCAGGCATACTTACCTTCTCAGAGCCCTCGTCTACTTTCGTCACCGTCTGTGAATCTCTGTGATCACTCCCATGATCTCAGCACCCTGCTGATGAATTGCTCAACCCTTTACACATCCCAGCATGAGCTCTGTATACTCTAACCTTTTCAGTGATGTCCCTTAGAGGCTGCCTGGGAACCTACACCTTAAGTGCTTAAATGTAGGAAGCGCAGGAAACGATGTTCATTCCTAATCCCACACTATTTAACTCTCAGGACCACTGTCTCGCTCTCTGACTGCAATTTATCTATTCGCATTCTCCCCATACCCACCTCAGTTTTGGGGACAATGTCTTACTGTAGTCCTGTCTAGCCTAGGCTATGTAGATCCAGCTGGCCTGGAACTTGCAGCAATCTCCCTGCCTCTGCTTCCCAGCCATTAGGATTCCAAGTGTGAGTCACCAGACCACCAGACCTAACTTGAATGTAATCTGATCTTCTATGAGTCATTCAGACCTTCAGCCTTACCTCTCTGCCCTTACAGTCTGAGTTAGGCACTTTGCTTCTCTTTAGTCCAACCCACGGATTATCTCAAGCATGAATTCCTGAACAGGGCTTGGAGTATAAACAATCAAGAAGTCTTTATATATGAGTTAATATTGATGTGGGGACATTGGTGGTTTTAAGCCTTGGTGTCACTATGTTGCTCAGTTAGGTCTCAAATCGATCCTGCCATGTCAGGCTCCAGAGTGTCTGGTACAACAGGTATGTTATTACATCAAGATCTTCCAGGAAGTAGTGGGCATCCCAAGGAGAGGTTGGGACCCAGGGAAAAGAACAAAAGTCATGGGGTTGATTCATGTGTACTCGTTCATAAAAGAGGAGAAAAGAAGGGAATATATCAAATACTGGTGGCATCCATGGAAGATGATTGTCTAACAGCACAGGAAAAACAATGAGCATTGCCTGACAAGTGCCGTCATAGCCATTCGTGACACCGAACAAGAGCTCCTCATTCTACTCTTCTTTTTATCTTATATCCATCAGCAACTATAGACTTCTTAGAAGCCTGTCCTGTGCAGGCATTCATGATGAAGAATTAAGGATATAAGACCACACTAACCACTTACCATTTTCTCTAGAAATTCATCTAACTCTTGTACCCTCATTCCTGCTTGGGAATTGTGAGGGTCAATTGTCACCTGGGCAGACTCTAGAACCATCTAGGAGACAATATGTAGGCATGTCTGTGAGGAGGATTTAGACTAGTTACCTGAGGTAGGTGGTCTCTTTCCATTGACTGGGTTTCTGGTCTGAATACAGAAAAGAGACCTGTGAGCTAATCACCAGCCATCATTTCTCTCTGCTTCCTAACTGTGGATGGAACATGAGCAGCTTTCCCGAGCTTCTGCAGTCACACACTTTGATAGACTCAAACTAAGCCCAAGGAAAGCCTTTCACCCTTCAGCTGTTTTTTTATCAGGGATAACTCTCAGCAATGGGGAAAGTAACTAATACAAAATGTTCTAAAATTTCCTTCCCTTTCCCTATTCTCATTCCTTTGCACGGATCAACTTCCCTTCTCTGCAAACGGTCGATCACTCATTGTGATCTAATCAGCAGTAATTAACTTTCATTTCCATTGGGCTCATTTAGATTTCATACTTTTAAGGATATCTTTCCTGAAGCCATATCTACGTCTCAGTCCTTTACCACCCTAGCTGCTCAAATGGAGGTTGTCCTACTTAGCTGTAACTGTCAACACGACACAGCTCAGGGCCACCTAGAAGAGGAGTCTCAGTTGAAAGATTGCTCCCACAGACTGGCTAGTAGGGATGTCTGCGGGGAAATTCTGACTGCTAATTGACGTTGAAGGGCCCAGCCTACTGTGGGCAGCACCATTCTTTGGCCAGAGGGTCCTGGGCTTTACAAGAAAGCTCGCTAAGTGTGGGTCTGGGCCTGTGTTTGCTTTCTGCTTCAAGTTCCTGTTTTGAGTTCTTGCCCTGACCTCTTCCTTCAATGAGGGGCTATAAACTATAAACTGAAATAAACTCTTTCCTCCCTTAGCTTGTTTTTGTTCCTGGGTTTTGTCATAGCAGCACGAAGGAAAACAGAGCAGAGGTCTTCCCTAAAGCATTGTATCCAGACACCTTTGTTATTGATTTCTCATCTCCTGTCCTTCAGCACTCAAATCTCCTGACAAGTATTTTAATTCAAGCCTTCTGCCATTTCTCAAATGTATTACCAAAACCAATCAAATGTTACACTACTGGGGGCTCAAAAGATGGCTCTGTGATTGTGGTTAAAGCAGAGGACCAGATTTCAGTTCTCAGCAACCATGTCAGTGGCTCACAGCTACCTGGAATATGGGCTCCAGCAGATTTAGGTTTTGAAGACACTCATACACACACACACACACATACACACACACACACACACACACACCAATATACATCTTTTAGAAACAATACAATAAAGGGGTTGGAAGTACAACTCTGTAGTGAAGTACAATATGCCCAAGGACCTTTATTAGATCCATAGCAAGTGGGGAGAAGGGGGGCACGACACACCACGACGACAATGACGATGAGGGAAAGGGGGAAGCTCCGCTTTATGTTGACAACCAACTCTGTCTTCATTTCTTCCCCCTTACACATTGCAGCCAGTCTCAAGGCCCTAGAAATTCTGTTTACATGGAATAGTTTCATAGACGGCTCCTCCCATATCTCTCAATTGTGGACCCTTGGAAGGCAAATATCTTGGCCTAAACAAATACCCCCTAACTGGTGGACCCGTCTCAAAATATTTTCCTTTGGGTAGGTGCAGGTTTCAGAATATATCTTTTAAGAAATATCTTTTCAGATATTGTCAACTGTGAAATGATTTTCAAAAGCTCCCTGACATGAGATGAGCTAAACATCCCTTTCATGGGATTTCGTCTTTCCTCTGCAGACTGACGTCTCTCTATCTTTTGTTTGAAGTCTTAACTGTTTATTTAATTAATCACACTGCTTGCTGTTTCTTGCATTGGGCCAAGCCTCTTACCCTTATACCTTCATTTGTACGAGTCCTACTTGAGAAGAAGGGTCAAAGGATTACTTTACCGTTTATTAGTAAGCAAAATCCGTGCACAAATATCACAAGACAAATGGGTATCTGAACAAGCTACAGCCACCTAATCCACTGCTCACTCATTCAGGGTCTGAAAGAGCCTGCGCTTCTCTCAACCCCGCCGTCTCATTTGGTCACAGCTGTGGCTGTTCCAAAAGAAAACTCGGCCTCTTGAATCAAAACGCTGCTCACTACAGGCTAGCGGACTGGTGGCAGAAGTTCTATAACATATATGTGTGGATGTTATGTGTATATAACACACACTTCAGGATATATTTGCTCTCTGATCCACCTTTTGGCATCCTTCAGAAATATTGAGCGGTCATCAAGCCTTGCTTTGTCAGGAACTACAGTGCCGCTCTGCTTTGTCCTGAGAGAGTGGGAAGTTGCCTTCTAAGCTATGTGTGATATTAATATTAGACAATTTACTTCCTGATTTGAACTGGTAGCAGAAATTATAATTTTCTCAGACACAGAGGGTAACTAATTCTGGAAATAGCTGCTACTTACCCACAGACTCTGAAGTTTGACTGCCAACCACTCGGAGCAGCATAGGCTGACTGCTATCAGACCTCTGCAGAGAGGTGGAAGGGGAGGACACTGTGGTGCCATTCACCTTAGCTTCAGCCTGGGGCTAAAGTATGCGACAGAAAAAAAAGTAGTGTTTTTTCACAATAAACTCACTAAAACTAAAAGAACACTATAGACAAAAAATAGGAACGTTATAGACACTCAGGACTCACTCAGACATTATTACCATTCCTTCTTAGAAACCGCACAGAAGTTTTTTGCTGATATAATTCATGGATATGCATATGCATTTATAAAATGCATTTATAAAAATGCAGAAAAATATGGATATGGTAGGACAAGAATATAAGCCAGCAAATTAAGAGGCTAAAACATTGAGAAGGCCATGTAAGAACAGAGAAAATATAAAACTCCCAAGAGTAATGGAGAGTTTATATTCTTGAGAGGTATAAGTAACACAACATAAAGAACATTATTTTAAAATTTGAAATGCTCAGAAAACATGGAGCTTGCCTGGCTCGGGTCTGTTTTAATGCTGTATCCTCCTATGTTCCCAGTGGAGGCATAAATCTTTAAATTCTATGTTAGGGTTAGAAGAAGAAAAAACCCCAAAGGTATACTACAAAATATAACTACTCTCAGATAAGAGAAATTCATTTTAAACAGTCAAAACTTCATTCACAGAGAACGAATGGAAATCTTCTGGCATTTCCCTATAAAATGCATTTCCAATTGGCAAAAACAAATGAACAGAAACAAAAACCGAAAACATATTGGGAGATTAAAATGATACCAAAAAAAAATTGACAAGTACTTTAAAGCTTCAGTACAAACACCTGAGTTGTGTGTTTGGTTTTATTTAAAAGAGGAAAAGTGAGAGTTTGTAACTCGCCAATATTAGAGAGGTGGGGGCCTTACCTGTTCCAGGAGCTGCCTCAGTCTGTGTAACTGAGACTCCAGCTGCTTATTGTGGTCTTCCAGGATTTGCATCCTGGCTTCCAGGCGTCCTTTGTGTTGACGCAGTAGCTTGGCCTCAGCAATGAGCTCAGCATCCCTGGGACTCTGGGGAGAGGTGGGCATCATCTCTGGAGGAGACGGCACTGGGGACAGGCCTTTACGTTCATGCTGCTGCTTCAGACGATCATACTCTGCTTGTAGATTCCTATATGTATCAGAAGTTAAGAAAGAAAGGAAGAACTATTAATCACGTCACCAGAGTCCATATAACTGGCAGACAGATGAAACTGACCATCACCAAACAAGAACAAGCAAAAGACAGGCACTAATGAATGGTTTGTATGATGATGATCTTACCGATGCTAAAGGAACAAAACAGAATCGGAAGCTTTTGACTGTTGTGTGAGGAGAGATGTTTTTCAGTTTTCATGTCATGCTAATAGTCTCACGGGTGCTATGTTTAGAGAAGTAAGCAGCAGCAGATTTCATCATTTTCTAAGCATTTCTTTATAATGTGAGATTAAAATTTTATGCCTCGATTCAGACTTTAATTTAAAAAATAAAAGTGTCAACAAAAATTTACAAGAATAAATGCACGCGTGTGTGTGCGTGCGCGCACACATACACACACACACACACACAAAGAGTACACCATGTATTCATCATCCTGCTTTATTAAATTTAACACCTGCCATAATTTCTGCAAAACCTTTTCAGTTTTAGAGGATTTTTTTTATTTTTGCATGCATGCAAGCATGTTATGCTGGTATAGAACCCTGGGTCCTGCACATTCCAATTTTTTTTAAGAAGTAAAATCCAGCAGCCAAACCTGAAATGACCCCAGTGCACCTTACCAAATCCATACCATACTCTCCTCAGCATCACCACTAAGGAAATAATGCCATACTGAATCCTATGTCCATACCATGCATGGAGTCATGTGTTACCTTGAAATTAAGATGCACTTATTGCCTGTTCCTTAGTTATAAAAAAAAGTAGTCATTTCATGTAATTCAATCTAGCATCACTACTTAGCATGTTCTTAAATCTTACATTTAAGAACTTTGTGCTGAAGAATATACATACCATTATGAGGTGCTTTTTGCCTTCCACATCATTATTTGCAGCTGCATCCATGTTGGTACATAATAATTTGTTATTTTATTGATATTAAGGTTTTATCTTGTTGCTTGAATATGTCCAAGTTTTCAGTTTTCCACTATTACAAACCACGATGCAATGAACTTCCTTATAGCAGTTTCTTTGGATATTGGTTTAAAGGAGTCTATAAAACACATCTTGATGTGGGATTTGCCGAAGTGCTCTCCTAAATGGTTTTATCTATTTACTCTCTCAGCAGTAGTGGATGGAGCATTCCTTTTGCCACAATCTTATAAACAACTTGATATTAGCAGACATTCACATTTTGGACCATCTGATGGCTACATTTTAACCTTCACATTTCTGATCACTGATGAATTGAACTTCTGTCATAACTGGCAGTTGAAATTGAAATGTGAAATGTCTCCCATATGCATGTTTTTGAACACATTGTACCCAGCTGCTGGTGCTTTTTGGGAAAGCTGAAGAACCTTTAAAAGGGGTAAAACCTGGCTGTATGTATTAGGTCATCATGGGAAAGCCTTGAGACATTGTAGACAGGATCTGACTTCTGGGAAAATTGTTTTTCTCTATTAAAGTTATTGATATAGTGTAGATGCCTATTCTTTGTAAGGTAATATATATATATATATGTATATGTATATAGTACACATTAGTTCATGCAATGATTTTTTTTAGATTTACTTATTTTTCTTTATTGAGCCACCATGCAGGTGTTAATAGCTAATCCTCTGCAAAACCAAATGATCTTAACTACTGAGCTATTTTTTTTAGCTTATCTTGCTATATTTTGGTGTACAGTTAATTTTGTGAACATTCTATAGTATAAAAATAAATTTCAACATATTTTTTCACAGTTTTTGTTTTTATGTTTGGTTTCAGATAATTTTTCTTAGAGTTACATTATAAAACTTAAAATTGTGGGTCAGGCCTTATTGTTGATGACAAGATTTACATTAAACATGGTGAAATCAAACTGATGCCTAACTAGAGCCTTCACTCATACTAACTGGTGTTCAAGGTACCGAAGGATACTCTGCATGCTACCAAAGCAGAAAGGAAAGTAATAACCCAACTAGAAACTCTTTGATCTACAGTGGTGACCTGTCTGCACAATAACCTGATGTAATAGTGGCGGAAAAGTTGTAGAAGTAAACAACGACTATTTCATTTGATTTAAGGCTCACTCCAGAAGATTGACCCCATGCCCGATACTGCTCAAGTGGCCAAGAACCTAAGACTAAATAGACCATGAACCCATGAGAAAACCAAATACGATTGTGGTAAAGGAACATAGCAATAAAATGACCCAACGATATTTTGATTTATCAACAGAGCAGTGTTTTACCCAGCCATCATCAGAGAAGACTCCTTCTCCTGTACATGGAAACAAATATAGAAGCTCAAAACTCGATAATGTGCATCAAGTAAGAGACTTTGGGATACTCATTCTTAAATGGGATCTATCAAATTCCCCCTCCCCAAGTGCTAAGGAAGCTTTGTGGAGGAGGATGTCGGAAGATTGAAAGAGGCTGTAGGAACAGGAGACACCGAGGAAAAAGTGCCTTCCATATACAATAGTATTGACACACATATGAACTCGCAGAGTCTGTGGCAGCATCCACAGGGCCTTCAGTGGTTTAAGCCAGATGGGATCCTAGTGTTGAGCAGGGAAGTGGACAAACACCCATCACTAACCCAGGAGCTATCTCCAACTGACAACAGGTCACAAAGGAAAAAATTAGTTTTTTTTTTCCAATGGAGTCTCACTGGGTACACAAACCACACTTAAAGGCAGGCCCAATGCCCAGAAGTAGATGGCTAATACAAAACAAATTCAGTGGTACTTTTGAAGGTTTTGTTTTTGTCTCAAAATGCTTTATGTGTTCGTTTTTTTTTAACCTCACAGATCTTTTACTTATATGTTATGGTTTCTGATTTTGTGTTCGTGTGGGATTTTTTGTGTGTTATGGTGTGGTCATGTCTGTGTCTGTATGTGTTTCTTCTGCTTTCCTTTTGGCTCATTTTTTTCCTGTTTGTTTGTTAGTTTTTCCCTATTCTGGTGTGTGTGTGTGTGTGTGTGTGTGTGTGTGTTTGCCTATTTGTTTACTAATGAGTGAAAGAAAGGGTGTGGATTTGGGTGGCTGGGGAGGATCTCAGAAGAGTTGGGGGAGAAGAAACTCTGATCAGAATTTAGTGTATAAAAAAATCTATTTTCAATAAAAGTTAAAATGATATAAAAACCCCATGGTTCCAAGAGATGGCTTAACAGGTAAGGTTTGCAGTCAAACTTGATGACCTGAATTCAACCAGTAGGACTCAAATAGTGGAGGGAACGAATTTCTACAACTTGACTTCTGACATCTGGGTATGTGCTATTGCAACACATTCCGCCAAAAGACACACAAAATAAATAGCATCTTCTTTTTAGAAAATATTAATTTTGTACTTTTTAAATTTTGAAGCTTTAACTTTTCCAAAATCTATGTTTTTAAAAAATTTATTTTATTGAGCTCTACATTTTTCTCTGCTCCCCTCCCCTCCAACCCTCCCCCAAGGTCCCCATGCTCCGAATTTGTGTATAAAGTGAATATATGATCTCATTTTACTTTCCCCTCATTGATAAACATTCAGAGCAACTCCACTCACTGTGTTGGGTTTCTGTCATTGTCTGTGCAATATATCAAGTGTCCATCCACAGACAGTTGTGTTTCTGTGCTCTCTTCTCTATTCCATTGGTTAGCATAGCTTCAGATCAATTGCTCTTTGGTATGGCTTCCAAATTTCCACTCTATTCCTCCTCAAAATTATCTAGTTTATTCTAATCTCTTTGGTCTTCTGTGTGATTTTAGTATCAAATTGTCAGATTTCAGGAAAATCCATGATCATATTTTGGGTTTGAATTATATTGAATTTAGATATTAAACTGGGAAGAACTGTTCATATAATTGAGTTTTCACACAGGAATGGGATAGAGCTTCTCATTATTATTGTCTTATTCTATAATATTTTATATTTACAGTACTGTGTGTTTCACTTCTTTCCTCGTTGCTTTCGAATGCTTTTTGTTGTTGTTTGAGACAGAGCTTTGCCATGTAGCCCTGGCTGGACTGGAATTCTCTAAATAGACTAGGATGGCCTCAAATTCAGAGATTTTGCTTCTGTCCCCTAGTGCCTGGATTAAAGGTGTGGGCCACCATTAATGCTTACTTTTTACTTTTACTATGTTTTAATAAGCACATTTGAGATACATTTTCAATTCTGGGCATCAAAATTTTATATATGTGTATATTTCTTTACTTAATTCAGTTGCTTATTTTGTAATGTTCATGATTTTTAAATTCAACCAATAGTGATTTGGAGGTACAGATTTTATATTGCCAACCACTTTACTAATCATTTTAGTATAGTTTCTAATTCAGTTGTATTTTATTCAGAGAATAGCTGTATGATACTAGTCCAACTATAATCTAAGTATAGTTCATAATCACTTTTTTAAATGGGTACTTAAAATGCATGTATGAGGCCAGGTGTGGTGGTACATGCCTTTAATCCCAGCACTCAGTAGGCAGACACGGGCAGACCTCTGTGAGTTCAAGGCCAGTCTGGTCTAAAAAGTGAGTTCCAGGACAACCTGGGCTGTTACACAGAGAAACCTTGTCTCAAAAAGCAACATCAACAAAAAACATATATGTTGCTTTTCAAAAGACAGTATCTATACCTAGAGTGCATTAATTTTGTTTACATTGTAGGTAAGTTTACTAAATTTCTCATTCCATTCAGTTAGTCAATTTCTTAGAGCAATGTTGAAATACAAATGGTTTGTTTCCCCTTTTGAATCTATTACAACCTACTTATGTGGGGATTATGCAGTTATATGCATAAAGACTTAGATTGCTATTGATTTTTTCCCTCTATAACTAATCCACAATATTACAGCATACAAATATTCCAATGCTTTAGGATTTACTGAAAATACAATTACAAACGAGGAACTTGGCACTTGACTGGGTAGACTCTTGATAGCTTTCTTCTGGTTACAAAACCTAGCAAATCAGATTAAAGATTTCAGCTGTTCATAGA